AGTCAGCAGGAAAGCTTCACGAAGGAGCTCAAGAGGATCGCCAACGGAAGTGTTCCGGTAGGTGACGACAAATTAGGCCACCTGAGCACATACGTCGATGAAGAGGGGACCCTACGCCTCAGAGGTCGAATAAAAGCAGCATCAGAAGTGGAAGAGGACACGTACGACCCTCCCATACTAGACGGGAAGCACGCATACACTCGTCTGTACATAACACACGTACACGAGAGGTTGCATCACGGAGGCGTGGAAACAGTCGTGAACGAATTAAGACAGAGATTGTACATAAGAAAAATACGTCCAGTGGTGAAAACTGTCGTCAAAAGCTGCCTACCGTGCCGTCTAAGAAAATTTAAACCTGCATCACCATCTACAGGAAACCTGCCGTCCGCACGCCTCGCTCATCACGCACGTCCGTTCACATACACCGGACTGGACTACTTCGGGCCAATATAGGTCACAGTGGGACGACATCGTGAAAAGCGCTATGGCGCGTTATTCACCTGCATGATATCACGAGCAATACACATAGAGGTAGCCCACTCTTTAAGCGCCGACTCAGCCGTGTCGGCGCTCAGGCGTTTTATGAGCAGAAGAGGATGCCCAAAAGAAATATGGAGTGACAACGCTACGTGCTTCAAGGCAGCCGATAAGGAGCTGCCCGAAGTAGCACTCGCAACCCTCGAGCACGAAACCACATGTCGACAAATTGTGTGGAAGTACATACCACCATCAGCACCGTTCATGGGCGGCGCATGGGAGAGAATGGTTCGCTCCGTGAAAGAAGCTCTACGCGTCACCCTCAACGAGCGCTATCCCAGTGACGAGACATTGGTGACCCTGCTCGCCGAGGTCGAAAACACTATCAACTCAAGACCTCTCACACACGTCTCAGGAGACCCAGGAGACCCAGAAGCCATCACGCCGAATCACATCATCATCGGTCCCAACTCGCAGCACGTCCCTGCGCCGGGATACTTTAGCGAGAGCGATGTGACGGCCCGCCAGCAGTGGAAACGAGCTCAAGCCCTGGCCGACGTGTTTTGGAGAAGGTGAGTTAAGGAATACCTGCCCCTACTCCAACACCGGCGGGAGCCCAGCAGCATAGGCGTATCACCGAAGATTGGAGACCTAGTCATCATTTGTGACTCCAATATACCACGCAACATCTGGCCCAGGGGAAAAATCAGCAACGTATATCCTGGCGTCGACGGAGAGGTACGAGTAGTGGACGTAACCACAAGCACGGGGCATGTACTACGAAGACCGACAAAGAAGATCGTCGTGCTACCAGAGGGATTGCAGCGTGGCGACGGCGGGAGAATGTGCACGACGCAAACAAAGTAATACGTCGAACGAAATAACCTACTGATTGCTTGTCGTAACCATCACTAGTTGAACAACCTAGGGTCGGTGGGCGGAGCCATGAGGATGTTATGATCGTCGGGCCGCGATCACGCTTCCACAACTAGCGGTGGTTGCACACAGCAACGCGGGAAACACCGTAGCAATAATATTGAAAAATATAGCTTTTATTTTTAATGAATAGTATTGTAACTATGTAATAACTCTCGCAATAAAGGCACCGAACAACTGGCGAGAGTTAACATAGATTTAGAATATAGAAATTAATTAATGCCAAATTGTAGAGTAAGTATTATATGTATATTGTATTCCTTTATATAGTGCAATTTAATTTCTTATATATTAAGCCTTTAGGCACGAAAAATAATAAACAGGGCATGTTACCGTGACGCGGCCGCGGAGCGAATGAGGCTACGCGCGCCGCGCCTCGACGTTTTATATTTATAGTACTAAGGCGGGGGGCGGGGTCCTCAGCTCAAAGTTCCTCCTCACCGCCGCTTGCCTCCAGATTAAGCAAGACCAACGCGTTTCATTCATTTTTCGAACGGCGTTACGGCGATCCGTAACAATATATTTGCGGTAAAGTGGGAAACTTTTGAGGAAACTACACTTTGAGCAAAAAAATCGATAAATGATGAAAAAAAAACATTCATATTTCGTGGAAGATTGCGAGGAAAGTATCAGATATATCGCTTTTGTATGTTATAAGGTTGATTGAAAATTTACCAAGGATCATTTCGTATCTACTCTCTTTTCATATATCGTGTTTTATTTAAACTAAAATAAAACCAGAATGGGTAGAGTAAAATTCTTCAACATAAATTATTACATAATACTTATTGAAAGTCATTTTTTCCATTTAGCACTGATTTGGAATTGAACGGATTGTTTTCTTGTTTGTACAATTTTTAAATAAGTTTTAATAGAACTAGCATGGTGGGGATCACCTCATTTCCGGCAGTTTTTTCACTTATGTATTCTTTGATATTATAATAACCCGTTATGTACAATTTTTCTTTAATAAAACAATTTAACTTGTTTATTGACAAATTTTGTACATTTTCTGTGATTTTGTTGTAAAAGCATATATGTTGTAAAAGCATATATAAACTAACCATCCGATGACACTCGGTTGTCATCGGATGGTTAGTTTATATATGGGGTGGTTTATATAAAGTTTATGAGTCATTCACACGCCAAGCCGATTGTTGAATAATTTTTATTTATCATTATCTTTTAAACTATGCATCCAAATAACATGTTATGAGGTGCAAAATTGTTAATATGTTCATGAAATCGTCTTGATGATGAAGTAACTTTCGTTCGTAAGGATTAAAATGCCACGTCTAATAATAACGCTCATACAACACTATTTAATTTTCAATAGTTTTTTGTCACAAAATATCTTATTGTGGCTTACGTATAAGAAATAGGCATATGGAATCGCGGACTTATTTTTAGATGGAGTAAAGATCTATATTTTTGTAAGGCATTGTTTACATATCACTAACTATTCACACTGGTACGAACTTTTCATTTATTCATTTATTTGTTAATCGGGTGGGATCGATTGGGTAAGTACCACGGTCTCACAAACTACTAGTGTATTCTTTATCATTACTAAAAATCAGCGCTGAGAAATTTTTGCATTCTTTAGACGTACAAAGTATTTTTTTTTTAATTTCATATATCTCTAAAAATATATGAAATTAATAAAATAAGTTGTTTTAATTCAATTTGATTTGTATATTTGTTGCATTAGTACTTATGTAAGTATAGTTGTATCAATGTGTATTTGCCGGTTGGCTTGTAAAAATTCAATATGGCGTTACTACCTCAGTTTTTTATTTTAGTACAAACAAATTATATAAATAAACATTGAATTTAGATTTTGGGTTTAAGCGGATAAAATTACTATCAACGTCGCAAGTTTAAACAAAATTTTAACGAAATCGCATTGTTATTGCTTTTTTCTTCTTCTTTTTAATCTCTGCGGCCATTTCCCATTATATTTCAGCTATCCGTCACAGCACTCGCCGCAGACAATTGGGGTACGGATACCGCCATTACAAGTGTCTAATATATTAGAAAAGTAAAATGTATACGAAAAAAGAGCTGCTTTGAAAATGTTATATCAATTTGACTTTTTTTTAATGTAATATTTTCAACGCGAGTACAACGATTTATTTTAAACTAGTGACCCACTCTGGCTTCGCCTTGGTAGGAACTATTAATGTAGCGTTATTTATTGAAAATAATCAAATAACATTTATTTTATAAATTTTCGGTTTTTAAAATAAACCTTTAAGCTTTTCGAACAAAATATAGCCCATATCACTCCTGGCTCTCTATGTGTTCGTGAAGTTTTATCGCAATCGGTTTAACCATTACAAAAATAAGCCCAGATTAGCCCAACAAATATTTAAAAAAAATATTCATGCCTTTGTACTCGTAGCTTAAAAATAACACACTGAGTCTATAAGAAGTCAGTTATTTCGATATTACAGATCGACATTTAAGTTTTATTTATATGCATAGATTAAGGTGGATGGAAGAACATCTTAATTACATTCAATAAATGTTTTATAAGTAACAAATTTAACTTTTCAATTAAAGGTTATGTAATATATAAAAAAGTATCCTGTTCTATTCTATTCTATGCATATAATATCAGTTATTAAATTCTCAACATGTCATTTCGTTACGACAATAACAATGCACGTTAACACAACAGAATGGCAGACAAACATTACTCAGCCTCTTTAATAATATTTGCTTCCCACATCTCTACAGTTTTCACAAAAATAGGAGGATGTTGTTGCTAGAAATGAAATAGCCAACTATATTGTAAATTTTTAGGCTTTTTTTTCTCTCCTTCATCAGTTCTGTATCACCTTCTGTTTCATCAGTGGCCGTTTAGGTCACTAAAATGCTAATATCGAATTAGTAAAAACGTTAAAAGTTTAAGTAAAACCTTGAACTGTACATATAGTTCTACGCATACAGTTTTTAATAGTATAAAGGTAAAAAAAGAGTACACAGTCCAGCTGATAGTAAGTGGATGCTGTAGTCCATAGACGTTTACATCTATCTTTGATTAAGATGCAGATGCGTTGACAAATATGAGATATGTTGGAATGCCTCGTTTTCAGTATAAAGAGTTTTTCAATCTCTACATCCACCATACGAAACACAGCAACATTAAGCTGCTATTTTACGCTGGTATTCTGTGAGAGCGTGGTTATTCCCCTTTCGAGTCGACCCAGCAGTGCTACAATCAAAATATAACTGCAGCCTGGTTCTTTCGCGTATATTTTAATTATGCCTCGGCTACGACCTATTTAAAGCAAAAAGGCACCTCACTTTCCTCGTTTCAAAACTATTTCTTATATATTTTTATTCTATATATTCTTGAACAGCTTATAGTAGTTTCTCTAAGTTTTTCATTATGCAACCAACTGACAAGGTTGAACTAAATCAGGCATAATTTTCCCATTGCTCCCCCCCCCCCCAGATCTCTGTGGTGTTCAGACGTGTTTTAGTAAACTACGCAAATTTTATAAATAATTTTATACATTTTTAAGTTTAAATAAAGTCATAATATTAGGAGTGCAGGAAAAGCAAGGTGTTGAAGAATGAAGCGCTTCCTTATCGTGTCTTGTAAGTGTGTTTAAACAATTGCCCGTCCCTTCCAACATTCGTACCATTCTAAAGATGAATGAAGACAGAACTATCCAATTATTGTCATAGGATAAAGAGAAACCATTGTACCTTCGTTACGTTCGGCTTGATGAGTATGACATTGGAGAATCAGAAATGTTAGCGCTTAAATCAGAAATGTTATGTATGTTTGGTGAGTTTGAAAAGAAACAGCAACAATACTTTTTATCATTGCAGTCGCTGATGAAATAAATAAAAGAACAAATGCAAAATTACAGAAATCAGTAGAGTTTACCGCGGCAAAATATGATAATATATTGAAGAGATTAGTTCGACTTGAGAATGCCAAAAAAGAAGAAAGAAGCCAGACACAAATACTTGAAGAAAAAATTAAACAGTTAGAAAAGTGGATTCGTTTTGCGAGTGTTGGAATTAGAAATATACCAAAAAATCAGAGTGAGACTAAGCAAGATTTGGCAAATACTATTATAACTATAGGGAATTTAATTAAAATTTCAATACAGAATTCGGATATTAAAGATGTTTTCAGACCCAATTCAAAATCAAAAAACAAGCCGATTATTGTCAAATTCAGGTCAGTATTAGTAAAGGAAAAATTTATTAAGGCTACGAAATACTTCAACAAAGAACACAAGGATGACAAGTTGAATATAGATCAACTATCAATCAAATGTCCATGGACACCAGTATTCATTTCCTAAAATCTAACGCCAAAAAGTAAACATCTCTTTTACCTAGCTAGAAAACATGCTGTCTTGTACAACTATAAGTTTTGTTGGACGTCCTTTGGTAAGGTGTTTTTAAGAAAATAATCTGGTGCTCCACCGATAGGCATAAATTCGGAAAGTGATATCAATAATCTAAAAGATAAGGAAAAGTGACTAGAACTATTCATCAGCTGCTAAATATTGAAGATTATTATCATTGATGCATAATTATAAGCACTCAATTTTGTTTAGTACCTTTATATATTTTGTCCTATTATTAATAGTATTTTGTAACACATATTCAAACATTTACATTCAATTACGTTTTAAAAGCATCGTCCACTTCCATAATTACTTAACGATACCACTAAATCTACTATCTTTAATGCATTTTTCAATATGCATATAATTTGTCCTTGAGTATTTTGATACTGTTATATTTTCTAAAATTCAATCCAAATAAAATTACAGATATTGATTATAATATTAATCCGCACTGTATGTATGTAAATAATAAAACATGTTGTTCAGAAATGATGAGTAGCCTTAACTTCAGTAATAGCTTATCAATATTATCTCTTAATATTCGCAGCATAAATCGTAATCTGGATAAATTGCTTATTTTTGTCTTTGGCCTGGTATATACCATCGATATTCTGGTGCTAACAGAATATTGGACTAATGAATATAAAACTCCGCCTAATATATATGGCTATAATGTATATTTTACTAAAAAGAGTTATAACGACGGTGTGGTGGTTTACGTTCGAAACACCGTAGAATGCACGGTCAACGAAGAATATATATCAGAAGGTAATTGTTTAACAGTAACATTGCAGAATGACACTGTGATCATTTGCATGTATAGACCACCTTGTTTTTCTAAGCCTATAAACTCTATTGACTCATTAGGTAATTTACTCCAGAATTTACACGCACGCAATATCATCTTGGCTGGAGATGTGAACATTGATATTCTTTCCAATCAAATATATAGTCATGCTTGCACGTACCTAAAACAACTGCCATATTATGGTCTCATTTCGGGCATCGATAAACCAACTAGATATAATACCTGTATTGACCATTTCATGATAAAAACAAACCAACAATGGCAATCGTTCGTTTTTAGTGAACTCACTGACCACTCGCTAATTTTATTACATGTGGAAAATATTCACTCACCTGTTCAAAATAACAAACTGAACTACGTAAATAAAGTAAACTACAGTGCTATAAAAATGCATTAGCGTTGGAAAATCGGCAAGAGTATTTACTTATCAATGATAACAACAAGGCTGCTGAGTATCTTGGAGATAGAATAAAAAATGTGATAATTACAAACACACAAGCAATAAAAGTATCTAACCGGAAAAGACACTTAAAATCATGGATTACGAACGGAGTAGTTAGAGCAATATGGACTTGGAATAAATTGTATAATAAATATAAAAAGTCCCCAAATGATAGCAAACTTAAGTTAAAATACATATCTTATAGAAACATATGTAATAAAATAATAAAAACACTTAAAATAAATTACGAGTATTACAAGATGCAATTTACTAAACATCTTAAAGATAGTAAGAAAACGTGGAACCTAATTAAAGATGTCGGGTGTATCACAAAAAGCACTGAAACAGCTGAATGTCTCTTGAAAATTAAACCAACAATAAAAGAGTCTCTTAATGAAATCAATAATTATTTTACTAGTATTGGCAATAGTGTACCTAATAATACACGCAAGAACCAAAATACTACAGACGTTGAATTAGCTTCCAAAATTTTACAATAAGTGCCCCGCTTAACTCATTTGTACTTTACCCAATTGATCCGTTAAAAGTATTAGGTACCGTAAACGATCTCAGGCAATTTAGTTAATCTGGCTGGGATGAGATACCACGTAGGACACTTATGGACAGTTTTGGCTAAACCTGTGGCGCATTTGTGCAACCTATGCTTCAATACAGGGACCTCCCGAATATTTCAAAAGAGCAATAGTAACACCTATATACAAGTCAGGTTCAGCCTAATTCAGACACCAGCTCCTCACATATACTAGACTATGAGTATGAACTTACCTGTATTTAAATAGATATAAGTTTTATTATGTATTACCTGTTTTTGTGAGGAGAAATAAACATTATTATTATTATTATTTTGGGGTATCTATAAAGTTTTCTCATCTGGTTGGGCAGTATAAATATATAATTATAAATGAAATTGGTAAACATACATAAATATGAATAAAATAAAATAAATACATAAAAATACATAAATATATAAAAACCCAACCAGATGGAAGCCCTCAGCAGGGGAGACCAGACGGCCGAGGGTTAGGGCGAAAGGGAAAGAAACCGGCGGACGATGCGGGCGGTATCGAGGAGCACCGCCTTCTGCATTTGAGCCTGGAGCGGTCCGTCACGGAGTCCAAGTCGCCTCAGATAACCCGGGAGGCTGACTGGGATTAACCCGTTCGCAGAAACGACCACAGGAATAATTTCGGTCGGCAGACCACCCCACATGCCGGTAACCTCGTGAGCCAGGTCCAGATATTTTGTCACCTTATCTGTTTCGGCTTTCACGAGGTTCTCGTCATAAGGAATGGTAATGTCGACCAAAAAGATCCTTGACTGTGCCCGGTCCATCAGCACAATATTAGGCTTATTCGCAAGAATAGTCCTGTCTGTGATGATGGCCCGGTCCCAGTAGAGCCTGGCGCGGTCATTTTCGAGCACGGCTTCCGGCAAGTACTTATTATTATTATTATTATTATTATTATAGGTGACAAGAAACTTCCAACCAACTATAGGCCCATTTCACTGCTGACTTCCTTATCTAAGTTTATGAAAACGAATAAAAGTTCACTGCTGACTATAGACCAACATAGATTGCCTTACAGGGGGGAGGGGTGGTAATAGTTTTTTTGAGTTGTTATAAGGAAACTTCTACTAGGATGTTACTAGGATGCTGCTGTCTATCTCCTCTTTCAGTTTCCCTTTGTCGTCTCTTACTAAACCGGGACGATATAGGGTATATTTGTACACCGCCACACATGTTCATAGTCTAGTCCTAGTCTGTGTTGTGATGCAGACGTCTGTTGTGTCACTACTCATGGAAATGCTAACCTTGTTTGTATCTAATTTGCGAAAAAGTATAAAATTTGATTAATAAACGTTGCTGGATGTTTTCAAATAATTTACATTAGAAATCTCTACAAACTATAAATTGGTATGCTTACTTAATTTATTTGTTGATAATTTAACTGTAAATAAACTTTAAATAAGTTTCTTTGTTATCTACTCAACATCTGGAGTATTGAAGTCGTTTATGAATTCAAGCCCGCAGCAAGCTCACTCCTAATACATTTAAATAATATACAAACACGCATTGTTAGTAAGGCTCGTTCTAATTAACCTCTTCAGTACCAAAGCTTTTAGTTCGAAATGAGTTTCGTTTTATTACTTTAGCTTTATAATGCTTTATCGTTTAAGCACAAAGTTACACAGACTGACTAAAGGGATTGTCTATAATAAGAATACAATAATAGTTAAAGTTACAGCCTATATACGTCCCACTACTGGGCACAGGACTCCTCTCATTTCTGAGACGGTCCTTGCCCTTAGGAAGTGTCCGCTGTGCTGCCCCAACGCGTGTTGGCGAACTTCACATGTCTTCGAAATATTTTTTCTTATTTCTCAGACACGCAGCTTTCCTCACGATGTTTTCCATCACCGCCAAGCAAGTGATACAACATCACTTAAAATTACAATTAACAATTTCATTGATGCCGGCGGGGATCGAACCCGGGTTGCTCGCGTACCGTGAAATTTACAACGAGCGCTAACCATCTGAGCTACCACGGCTCGAAAAATAGAACACAATATTTTTAATTTAACATAGAAAAAAAATTAAAAAGTCTTTATTCCTTGCAATACATATCGATTTCTTTATTCTAGTAGTTTTATGGTAATGGGTTAGTGTCTTTAATTAGTTTATTATTTTTTTTATTTAAATATACTTAAATTTTTGTTAGTATTATTTATTAGTTTTATTTATTCCTAGGACCCCAGATTGGGTATAGGCCTCCTCTAAAGATGTCCGTTTATCTCTGTCTTGTGCTATTTGACTCCAGTTTGAGCCAGCGGTTCTTTAAAGATCGTCTTCCCATCGTGTTTTTGGTCTTCCTCTGTTTCTTTTCCTTGTGGACCTTTCCATAGGGTTGCTCTTACAGTACATCTCTGGTCTGTAAGCCTCGCTACATGGCCTGCCCATTTCCACGTTTGCTTTTGTGCATAGCTCAAGGCATTTGTGACTTTCGTAATTGCTCTTATTTAACATAACAACTCCTCTTCAGTTTATTTTTAAATATGAAAGATTACAAGTACTAAAAAAGCAACATTTAATTTACCTTTAGATAATATACATAACATGCTTGTAATAAGGCTTTTGCCACAAGAAAAGTGCATTATAATCTGAATAACATTATTTTTGTAGGTTGGATCATTTCTGCACAACACGGTCCGATTATGGTGTGCATAAAACGTGGCTTCGTTCACGTGGAATTTTTCGAGTTCAAATTAAAAGTCGAGTGTTCATATCGTTTATGCCTTTGTTCAGCAGTTGACTTTTGAAAGGTTGTAATGATGCATAATGATAATAGCAACGGATATAGGAAATAATAAGGATCTCAAAGTGCACTATTTTATCGTCGTAAGTTATTACGAGTTATTTCTTCTCTCTCAATTACTTTTTTCGTAAATTTAAATTCTGTTACATTGAAACTAAATGATAATTACAGAGATCCGTCATTAACTCTCAGTCTGATTAAATTTGTTACAAGCTCGTCAACGCATGTATCTCGGTGAGTTTGCAGAGCGATATTAATCGCGGCGTTCGTTAACTGACGCGGCGGTGTGGTTCAGCTTGCGGGATTAATTAATGTAAATGAACATTGCTACATTAGAAGATTTTATGGACAATATGACTAGGTT